GCAAGTTTCTTAGCTTTTCGGAGCCTGCTTCCTCGTCTGTACACTGGGGTTGGGGTATTTATGACCTGAAGGTGTGGTGAGCGATAAATGACACAGGCAAAAGATTCAGGAAAAATCTGGCGCCATCACGTCCTCCCCTCCCCTTTCTAAGTGTCCTTAGAACCACAGTCCTCTGAGGAATGCAGGGCTGCAGGGAGTGCTTTGGGGAAGAGGAAGGTGAAAGGGCAGAAGGTGAGAAGGAGACTTTCTGGAGTCAGGCAGCCTCTCACTAGCGGCCTGGGTCCCGGGTGAAAGGCCCGGAAAGGTTACCTCCTTCCGATACCAGCCAGCCTCTGGCCACGCCCTCCCACTGACATGGGACAGGCCCGACAGCTCTTTAAACTCCGAGGGTTTAAATGTCTTTGAGGGCTAGAGCGACACACCAAAATAAACACATCTACCCGCTGGGCACCGAAAGGGAAACTTGGCAGGGGCCCCTGAACTTTCCCCACCCCAGCCCTCCCTAAACTTCCTCTTGTGGTTTCTCTAGAGTACAACCTGTTCTCTCCCCGGAGTCAGAAGCGTGCCGGGCGCAGGGGGCTGGGGCGCCCGAAAGTGCCCCGCACCCACCGATGAGGAGGAGGAAGGCGGGTGTGAGTGGCAGAGGAGCAGCCCAGGGGCCGGCACAGCTCTGAATGTCTGAATGTCCCCGTTCTCCTTACCTGTTACCACCCCCCAACACACACCGCGCTCTCAGAGACATGGTGGGGTGGACTGACTGCAGGCGGAGAAGACAGCCCCTGGGCTTCCCAGATCTGTGCAGAGGGCCTCCTCTGAGAGACCTAGTGTCTCAGAAAGGTAACGGGAAAATGGCTGGAATCCATGGAACCCCTGTCCTGTGGCCTGGCTTTTATCACGGCCACTGCCCCAGCCTGCCTAGAGAGTCAGCTCCACTGAGGCAGCTCTGGGATGCAGCCGCTGTGGGGAGGAAGTGAGCATCTTAAGTCTGTTTCTACTCCTTGGCCGGCTGCCTTAGTCAGCTACCAAGAAGGGCTGCTCCTCCTGCAGTCTAGAATGTGAAGTTCACTGCTATTCTTTCTTTCTTTTTTTTTAAAATATGCTTTTCTTGATTTCAGAGAGGAAGGGAGAGGGGGAGAGAGCTAGAAATATCAATGAGAGAGAATCATCGATAGGCTGCCTCCTGCACGCCCCCTACTGGGGATCGAGCCCGCAACCTGGGCATGTGCCTTTGACTGGAATCAAACCTGAGACCCTTCAGTCCGCAGGCCAAAGCTCTATCCACCGAGCCAAAGCAGCTAGGGCTCTCTGCTATTCTTTCTTTTTAAATATTATATTTTATTTATTTTTTACAGAGAGAAAGGGAGAGGATAGAGAGTTAGAAACATTGATGAGAGAGAAATATTGACCAGTTGCCTCCTGCACACTCCCTACTGGGGATGTGCCCGCAATCAAGGTATAACTGGAATCGAACCCGGGACCCTTCAGTCCGCAGACCGACGCTCTATCCACTGAACCAAACTGGTTTCGGTTCTCTGCTTTTCTTAAAGATTCCCAACAAAAGAGGTGTCTTGGTTTCCCTCCTTCCAGATTCCGGCACATCACATCCATATTGAGTTCTTTCTTACATCAAACCCTGGTCTGCTCCTCTAACACACACACACACACACACACACACACACACACACACACGGCCATTAGGACAGGATACAAGATACCAGCTCTGTGCAGTCACCCCAACCATACCAACCCTACTCTACACCTGCGGGGCTCCTGTAAAAGGCATCAGCACGCATGCTCAGCTAACAGATCAGTCCCTTTGGACACTCTGAGGCCCCTGGCTCCAGTGCACACACAGGTCTGCCTACTGGTTAAGAACTGGGCCTTCCCAGTCAAATGACCTAGGTTTAAATCCCAGCCCTGCCATTTCCTTCTGGGGCCCTCTTTGGGATTATTACTTCTTTCCTCTTCCAAGTATTTACCTCATAGGATTGTTCGGAGAATTAAAAGATATTACACCTAAAACATTGAAAAGAGGACCTGACAGAGCTATGTAAGTGTGAGCTCGTATTCCGAACCCTTGATGGAAGGAAAACAGGAAAGAGAAGGTGTTTGGGACCTTGGAGGCCATGGTCTCAAGGACTGGGCTTCGACTGGGATCCAGCTGGAAGTCTCAGAGATGCTTTTGATTCTAAAGTCCAGGAGGGTAGACGCTCTGACTTGTTTACTACTAAGTCCTTAACATCTAGCCTTTGCAGACAGAGTATGGCCCGAGCAGACAAGGGTTGAATGGATTCGTAAATTGTTAGTCATCTCCCAAAGGAGCCTGGGAATGTAAAGAGCAGAAATGTGATGGGGAGAGCCGGTTCTCTTCATTCAAAGAGAATCAGGGTGAGAGGCATAAAACAAGGATTTGTTCAAGGAGCTAAGTCCTAGAGTTCAGAGGTGAGGAATGGATGCCCCAAGATTGTGTGGACTGTCACATAACCCCCAGGTGAACCCTCCCAACTGTAGCTGAGAACTTCTGGGTTTGGGGGGGACCAGCCCTCTCCCTGAATTCATCCCGTTTATAACCACCTCTTTTTTGCACCTAGATAGGGGGTTAAATCTGGGTCCCCATTACCTCAAGGCTCAACACCACAATCGGAGTTCAGTACAACCCTGTGGAATGAATCAGTGCCCCCAGAGACTGCCCACGTCTTCTCTCAGAACCAACTCTAGTGTCCTCTTCTCTCGGAAGCCTTCCCAGCCCCCCTGCTTGATGCCTTATCGCCGCTGTTCATGACCCACACTAACTGTAGGGGAATAACACCATTGCACTCCCAGCATCCACTACAATCCCAGACACACAGAAGGTGCTCAGTCAATGTTTGGAAATGAATACATCAATGTTCCCTTAGTAAAAGCGACTGCTCTCTTCAGTTACTCCTCTTGACACAGAAGAGGCTAAGGCCCTCGTTTGTGCCCCCATCAGATGCTCGAGGGTGAGCACTGAGGGGTTCTTCCTTCCAGTACTTTCCTTCCAGTACTGTCCTCGTGGCTTCCTCCCTCAGCCCAGGCCGGCAGGAGAACCCCAAGGCTGCCTGCCCTCCTCCTCACCTCCCACCTCTCTCTCTGATGTATGAAGAACAGCCCACTGGGCTTCCAGATCAGCGTGGAAGGGGGCTGTGTGGACATATAGGGCACTCAGGGTTTTTTTTTTTGTTTGTTTGTTTGTTTTTTGGGGGGGCTTCTCTGCCCTTCACTGAGAAAGTGAGCCGAGTTCTGGGGGATAACCAGGAGGTGATGAGAGCATGGTGACCTCCTCCACCCACCCACCTCCCACCTCCCACCCCAGGCTGGGGGAGTCCAGCCTGAGCTTGGAGGTCCCAGCAAAGAGGGCGAGAGGTGCTGAACCCCCGTTATCTTGGCTTCTCCAGCCTTCAAGCCTACCTCCTTGGCAGGTGAGCCCCCCGAAGGATCTGTTGTGGCCGAAGACACGCTCCCCCGCAGCCTCCGGCTTCTGTCTCGGGGAGCTGAGGCGCGGGGTCGCAGCCCTCGGCGGCGGGGAGGGGCGTGAACTCGCTCCGGAGCCCAAATAAAAGGAGTCTCCGCCCCCGCAGGCGCGGCGTGTTTACAAAGTTCTAGCCGAGCCGCGGATCGCGAGTTTGAAGCTGGGCAGGAAGTGGGGAGGAGGGGGCGGGGAGGCCGAGGGGCTGGATGCTCTGCTCGGCTGAGGTTAGGGCCTGAGACCTCGTCCGTCCGTGTGCCCGGGTTTGGGGGTGCAGGTGCCCCCCTGGCTCAGGGGCGTGGAGCCGGGAAGGTGCGTTTCCAGACTTCTGCCTCCGGGGCACTAGCCACTCAGTCACGTGCTGCCCTGGGGATAAACAACAACAGCAGGCGACTTTTCTGATCTCTGTCAGACCTCTGACCTCTTTCCAGCACCGTGATAGACCCCGTTTGTATTCGCTTGTTCCCTCCCCTTCCCCCCCACTCCACTATCAATCACACCCCAGTTTCACGAAAGAGGAAACTGAGGCACCGTGAGGGTAGGGCATGTGCCCGGAGTCCCCCAGCTAGAGATATCAGCATTCAAACCCAGCGTTTGCGTCCTGCCAGGCTCTAGCAAAAGGAGAAGAATAGCCCTAATCAGTTTGGCTTAGTGGATAGAGCGTCGGCCTGCGGACTCAAGGGTCCCAGGTTTGATTCTGGTCAAGGGCATGTACCTTGGCTGCGGGCACATCCTCAGTGGGGAGTGTGGAGGAGGCAACTGATCAATGTTTCTCTCTCATTGATGTTTCTAACTCTCTGTTCCTCTCTCTTGCTAGCTGTAAAAAAATAATTATATATATATGTTTTTTTTTTTTTTTTAAAGAAGACTAAGGTGCGATGCGGGCCCCGCAAGAAGAACCCCCATCCGGAGGGGCCGGCGAGCAAGTGAATAGAAAACCCCGCAGGCACCGCAGGCCCTGGGAGCGAGGCGGGCAAGGGCAGAGCCGCGGGCCTTCCGCGCCTCCCTGCCAGCCGGGCGAACACCGGCGGGTTGAGGGCAGCAGGTTGCAATGGGAGGCCTGGACGAGGCTGCAAAGAGGGCCATTGGCGGGCTGCAGACTCGCAGCACAACCTTACATCTCCCCAAAGTTCCCGCTCCAGAAGCATCACCAGGAGAGGTGAACAACACGTGGTCTCGGCCCCTCCCGCAGACTGACCCTGGGCGGGACCCAGCCAGGTGTTGCTAACAGTCACGTTTGGGGCGCTCCAGGGGGGATGCTCTTTATGAGAAACGATTTCAGGGGGAAAGAGGTGTGCAAGCGAGGGCGCATTTCCCGGGCCAATTCCGAGGGTCACAGCAACCCGTCGCTCAGTGTGGGTCACGTGCCCAGGTCATCAGAAGCCCCCATCCCCCGCCTTGGCTGGGCTTTGGAAAACCCAGAGGTGCGAGCGCCGCCCCGCCCCGCCCTTCCCCGCCGGGCGACTACAAATCCCATCCTGCCCTGCGCTCGCGCACGTTACGCCAGAGCAAGATGGCCGACACGACGGCCTCTGCGGGGGCTGGCAGCTCCGGAACGGTAAGGGCGGGAGGCGCGGGGTTGAAGCTGAGAGAGTCGGGGCCTTCTGCAGCTTTCCCCTAGCCGGGGCCACAAGCTCATCCCCGGACATCCAGCCCCGCCATGAGCTCCGTATGGAGGAGGGCCTTTCAGGCCGTACGTGTCCCCCTCCTCTTTGGGACTTGGCGGCGGCCTCCCGAGTTGGTGGACCTGTGTGCTGATTGGCTCGTTTCGGGGTTGGGAACCCGGAACACCTCCTAATTGGTCCGAAGAGACCGTTTCCGCCTTCTTATTGGCTAGCCAAAGTTGGGAGGGATTCCTGTTTCAAAATATTATCTTTCCTACTTTCCGGTGCTGTTATCCTTTGCCCTCCTCTCCTCAGCATCATGTGTTATTATTTTAATTTCCCTTGTTAGTGAAGATGGGAGGAACAAGAGAGGTGTTTTTTTCTGAGAGTTAGAAATAAATACGGTCTCATACGTGTTTCCTCAAGCTGTATATCCTGATAATCTGCGAAAATAGAAAGTAAGAAACAGCCATTTGTTTTATTAGAATTTTACGTTTTAGGGAAGCAGAAAGGCTGTCTCCGTATTTAGAGCCCCTTGGCTGCTCAATCATTACTTATTTGGCTATCACATTTTGTTAAGCACTGGTAAGTATTTAGCAAATGAATGTTTGCTCGCTATGACGATGTGTGAACTATGTGATTGCGTCCTTGTTTAGTGGATGAAAATCTTCTCTCTTTCTGGGCTCCTGATTCACAGAGATCAGGAAGTAAACAGTCCACTAACCCTGCTGACAATTACCATCTGGCCCGGAGGCGAACCCTGCAAGTGGTTGTGAGCTCCTTGCTGACGGAGGCTGGGTTTGAGAGTGCTGAGAAAGCTTCCGTGGAAACATTGACAGAAATGCTTCAGAGCTGTAAGTATCAGGAACAATATGCCTTCTTCAAGTCAACCAGACATCAGTGCTTTGTCTTGCATTGTGATCGTGTTAGAGAGGATTTAAGAAAAAGAACATAGTCAAGTGACTTACAGGCTTTAGAATCAGATAGGCCTGGGTGTAAGTCATCACTCTACCACTTAATAGTTGGGGCAAGTTGCTAGACCCCCTGACTCTTCATTTCCTCATTTGTGAAATGGAATAATTTGCACCTCATAAAATTGTGAGTATAAATGAGACATATATGTAAGTCATTCCATGCTGGGAACATTGTAAGCTCTTGATGACCTGCAGGTGCATAATAGCTTTTTATGTTCTATACTCAAAGAACCTATAGTTTTATTGGAGAGTTAGGATTAATTTCTACAAAATAGATGCCACCACATAATATAATAAAACTAGAGGCCTGGTGCATGAAATTCGTGCATGGGGGAGAAGGGACCCTCAGCCCAGCCTGCACCCTCTCACAATCCTGGACCAATGGCCCCTCATCACTCACCTGCCTGCCTGCCTGATCACCCCTAACTGCCCCCCTGCTGGCCTGGTTGCCCAGGAAGCCTATTTGTTCAGTTGTTTGGTCGTCCCTCACTACCCACCCTGGTCATAGGCAGCCATCTTGTGAGGGTGTGGGGGTCAATTTGCATATTACCTCTTTATTATATAGGATGCTGTATTGTATATAAAGATACAAAGGGTAAGGGTGAATATGTTTTATAGAATGGGGGAGAAAACACACTTTTAAGAGGAAATGCCTTGTGTCCTATCTGGTTTGGCTCAGTGAATAGAGCATCAGCCTGCTGATTGAAAGATCCTGAGTTCAATTCTGATCAGGATCAGATGCCAGGATTGTGGGCTTGATCCTCCCCAGAGGGGGGTGTACAGGAGGCAGCAGATCAATGACTTTTCTCTCATCATTGATGTTTCTATCTCTCCCTCTCCCTTCCTCTCTGAAATCAATAAAAATATATTAAAAAAAAAAAAAAAAAAAAAAAAAAAAAAGGAAATACCTTGAGATTTAGGACCTCAGAATGGTCTCATACTGGCTTTTCTGCATATACAATGTATTTCCCTATTTGGGCCTTTTAGGGGCTATAATAGGATGAGGGATGGAGATACAAATATGAATACATATGTGTATATATTTTGCCACATTAGAAAGTAAAACAGAACATTTAAAACATGAGCATGAACAAGCATATGATCCATTATCCACCAGAGCCATGATGTCATCCCTGGTCAGATTTCCTCTGGAAAACTGCCCCAGAGAATGAGTAGAAAAATTAAAAAATGTCTTAATTTGATTATGAGTCCTAGCTGGTTTTGCTCAGTGGATAGAGCATTGCCCTGCAGACTAAAGGGTCCCAGGTTTGATTCCAGTGAAGGGCACATGCCCAGGTTGTGGGCTCGATCCCCAGTAGGGGGCATGCAAGAGGCAGCCAATCAAAGGTTCCCTCTCGTTATTAATGTTTCTATCTCTCCCTCTCCGTTCCTCTCTGAAATCAATAAAAATATATTTTCTAAACAATTGATTACAAAAACACTTTTGACCTGTGGACTGTGGAAAGGTTTATAGGGTCGCCTAGGGATTCCAGACCACACTTTGAGAACTTTTGTCCAAAAGGAATGGACTAATAGTCCCCATTAGATCCCCCCCCCCACGCCCCTTTCCCTCCCTCCCAAGTAAACAGATGCCGCCCATTGTTTTCCTGTGTAGAGGCTAGGATTAGTGGCTTACTCAGGGTAGCATGGCAAGTTGGTGATAGGTTTTCAGTAAGACACCTTTCCCTACTTGCTTTTATCTTCTGAACCTTTTTGGATCCCTTACATCTGATGAGTTCTGTGGACCCATTCCCGGAAAAGGGCTGTGTGTGTGTGTGTGTGTGTGTGTGTATAATTGAGCACAATTTTAGGTTTCATGGAACCTCCCATTCCTTTTGAAACCATTCATGGAGTCTGATTCATACCTTCCCCTTTCTCTGAAGGATTAAAGCCTGACTATTAAACAGAGGTTCAGCTTTAGACAGACAATGCAGACAATAGACCTTTTTTTCTTGGTTGCAAGATATACGTAACATAAAATTTATTATTTTAACCATTTTTAAGTGTATAATTCAGTGACATTAAATATATTCACAATGTAGTTGGTCCGAAGGTTGTGGGTTATTGTTAAGCTGATTAACATAAATATATTCACAATGTTGTAAAACCATCAACACTCTTCATTGCCAGAACTTTTTCATTATTCCAAAAAGAAACTCTAAACCCATAGAGGATAACTCCCTAATCACCTCTCCCCCCTGCCTCGAAGCTACTTTTTTGGCTCTATGAAATTTTTTTTTTTTTTCCTGTCATATAAGTAGAATCTTAAAACATTTGACTTTTTGTGTCTGGTTCAGCTCACTTAGCATAATGTTTTCAAGGTTCATCCATGTTGTAGCATGGATCAGTACTTTATTCCTTTCTTTTTAAATTTGTTTATTTAAATAAGTTTTTATTGATTGGAGGGAGGAAGGGAGGGAAGGAGGAAGAGAGAGAGAGAGATAGATATCGGCCACCTCTGTTATGAAACAGGCATGTGCCCTGACTGGGAATCAAACTGGTGACTTTTCGGTCACAAGACAACACTCAACCAACGGAGCCACACCAGCCAGGACTATTTCATTCCTTTCTTATGGCTAAATAACATTGTCTTGTGTGGATCAACCACATTTTGTTCATCCATTCATCTTTTGATGACACTTGGGTTGTTTCCACCTTTCGACTATCGTGGATAATGCTGCTATGGACATTAGTGTACAAGTATCTATTTATGTTCCTGCTTACAATTTGCTTGGGAATATACCCAGGAGTCCAGTTGCTGGCTCATGTGTCAATCTTTGCTTATCTTTTAGGGAACTGAGAATAAGACTTTATGCTTTTGATTCTTTCCCAGACATTTCAGAAATTGGGAGGAGTGCCAAGTCTTACTGTGAGCACACAGCCAGGACCCAGCCCACGCTGTCAGACATTGTGGTCACTCTTGTCGAGATGGGTGAGTGCACAGTTTCCGGCTCTTCAGTGCAGCTGAGTTGGAGTTACGGGAGAGAGAGGAGTGAGCCACATCTACTGAGTGTTTTTTAATTCCCTTATGGTTCTTCCGGTCAGTTTCTTGTTTGAGGGGGTTACCAACAGAGGGTTCCTCTGACCCATTTAAGAGACCTCCTAACTCGCTGGTGGGGATCTGCTGGAGCTTCTCAATGGCAGCAAAATGCTTGAGTGGGGAGTTGAAACTATTTCAGCACAAGGTGCCTCTCCCAAGTTCAGTATCTGGTGGTCTGGGCAGTGACTTTTGTTTTCCTGTTTCTTAGGTTTCAACGTGGACACTCTCCCTGCTTATGCAAAGCGGTCTCAGAGGATGGTCATTACTGCCCGTAAGTGACTTTGAACGGAGGTCCTCAGCACGTGCTCAGTTAATGCTTGTGCAATGAATTAATTAAACAGGGCAGGGATCTGTTTGTTCAGCTACTTCTTTATTGCAGGCTCCCTTCCATCATTTGGGGCTACCTGTAACATCGTCTTTGTTTGGGCTAGTGGGACCGGGACGTGGCGTTCAGTCACCAGAAAGGAAAACCATCTCTGAGATGTTGCCGTGATTCTTGTGCTTTAGCCCTAGAAGGGCAGTTGATGCTGCTTGAGAAATGCTAGTGCTCTAGTTCTTCCTTAGATCAAGAGTCAGTAAACTAAGGTCTGTAAGCCTAATGTGGCCCACCACCTGTTTTTGTAAATAAAGTTTTATTGGAACACAGCCATGTATACTTACCTTTGATTGCCTTGTGCTATAATGGCTGAGTCGAGTAGTTGTGACAGACTGTATGGCTTGCAAAACCTAAAATATTTACTCTGTCTCTTTGTTTCTATCGAAGGCACAGTTTGATGACCTGTGCCTTGGATAGAAACTGGCTGCCATAAACTGAGCTGGGAGTAACTGGTGTGGGCTGGTAGGACCCGGGGAGACTTCACTTGATTTTTCCCCACCACTTTTTTCTGGCTGACATCTCGTGAAGACCTTCTTCCCTCTCAAGTAGCAGTGAAGGTGCCATTTTCAGTCCCATGCCTACTTACCCTGGCGTGCTGTATGACTGTTATCTGGGTTCTTTGAAAAGAGAGTTAATAGCTCATCTAACTCCTTGGTCACTCAGCAGCCTCCTGTGCTCTTTTGTGATGTGAACATTGTCCCAGCAAAGCACTCACCTCCCTAAGAGGCTTGCAGGCAGATTGCTGTGGATGGGAATGTCACCCAGGGTCATTCAGGGCTGGGCCTGTCGGGGTGACCTGAGGTCCTTAAGTCCTCAAAGGCCTTTGTAAAATAGAAATGCAAAGTATCCATTGTTCCGAAAATTGAGACCCAGCATTTACTTTGAGAAAAGGAGGGTTTGGGTAGAGACCCAAGTCCTGGGGTGGAAGAGGAACCAGTTGTGACTCTGTTGCAGCTCCAGTGACCAATCAGCCGGTGACTCCCAAGGCTCTCACTGCAGGGCAGAATCGACCCCACCCGCCGCACATCCCCAGCCATTTTCCTGAGTTCCCCGACCCGCATACCTACATCAAAACTCCGGTGAGTGTGAGGGTATGACGGGGGCTATGACTGAGGCGAAATACTCAATTTCTACTGATTGTTGGATCAAAAGCTTATTGATAAAAGGTGGGCTCAGAACTCAGAATGTCTTTTCTTATAAACAATTTGGCAAAGGAGAATTATGTTCTCCCGATGGCTAACAAAAAAATAGTTAACAAGAAATTGAAGCCTGTCCTGCCAAAATGCTAGAGAAGAGACTGGAAGGGCACTCAGAATATATTCATAGTAATTCTCAGTGGGTCATGGGTAACTCTTGTTGCTTTGTGTGTGCTTAGTTCTGAGTTTTCCAAACTTTTTATAGAAAAGTGTTATTTTTGAAACCAGGGGGAAAAGATTATTTAAAGCATACTTGGTGATAACATGAAATGAAACTTAGCATACTCTGAGTTCTGGGTCTGATGAGCACAGATCGAGTTGTCCTCCAGGGCTTAGCTGTGTTCTCCTTCGCCTCATTAGCAGTTTCGCCCTCCTTTGGGAAGGGTGTGGCGTGCAGAGCAGTCCCAGAGGCTCTCCCACACACTTCCTTTGTCCCTGCCTCCAGCACATGCTGGTGCAAATATGGCATCATGCGGGCGGGCGGGGCACGTCCTCCAGGCATTTCTCCACACTCAGGATCCTGGGGGAAGGAATAGGTAGTCAGTCACCATGGCAGTACAGCCGCTGGCCATGACCTGTAATCTCTGTATTAGTGTCCTAGAGCTGCCACAACAAAATGCCATATACTAGGCGGCTTAGAACAACAGACACGTATTGCCTTACAGTTATGGAGGGCACGTGGCCGAGCTCAAGATGTTGCCAGGGCCATGCTCTCTCTGAGACCTGTAGGAGAATCCTTCCTTGCCTCTCCTAGCTTCCGGTGGTTTGTGGGCACTCTTGGCTGGGGGAAGCAGGACTGTAGTCCTTTGTTACGTCTGTGTCTCTGTCTTCACATGGCCTTTTTCTTGCAAGGGCATTAGTTGTATTGGAACAGAGTCCCACTCTGCTCTTGTGTGACCTCTTTTTAACTCGTCACCTCTGCAATGACCCTATTTCCAAATGAGATCATACGCTGAGACACTGAGGGTTAGAATTTCAACATTTTTTTTTAACTTCTTTATTGATTAAGGTATCACATATTTGTCCTCATCCCCCCTTTCCCATACATTTTTTTTTTAAGGAACACAATTCAGAAGAGATTGGGCCCAATCTCAGAGTAGTATGGCCATATACTTGGGACACAATTCAACCCATCACAGTCTCTAACTCTTTTATAGTGTATTTCTGCAGTAAAAATACTAAGTACACTAGAGACCTTGTGCACGAAATTCATGCATGAGAGGTGCCTGTTGTTCCTCAGCCTGGCCTGCACCCTCTCCAATCTGGGGCTCCTTGGGGGATGTCCAACTGCCTGTTTAGGGGCATTAACTTGAGCCATTAGGAAAATCACACAGAATGTTCTTGACATACAAACATTGTGGTTTTATGAGTTGTTTTAATAATAATGGCTATTCCTTTAAATAAAGTACAGCTGGTACTATGTGAATTCAGAATGTTAATATCACAAAATCATAGAAGTTGTAGTGGAAATAACCTTGAATTGTCTAGTCCAAACTTTTATAAATAGTGGAATTCCCTATTCAAAGATTTTGAATGCTTTTTGTCCTAAGAAGCTTAACCAACTTTTGAAGAAACCCATTTTCTGTGAAAGGACTGGGGGACTTCCAGTGAAGCTGTGGGGACTGGGCGCTGCCATCTTGTGGCTATGGACGCTGCCATCTTTGTGATAGCATGATGGTCAATTTGCATATTCCCTCTATTAGATAGGATACTCCAATAAATATTCATGCTGACTTACATGAATATTATAATGTACTAGAGACCCAAAGCAAGAAATTTGTGCATGGTGGGGGGTGTCCCCCTCAGCCCAGGCTGTGCCCTCTCACAATCCAGGACCCCGCGGGTAGGATCCTTAGGCCTGGCCGGCGATCAGGGCCTATTGGGGCTTTCCTTCCCCGGCTGCCGGCAGCTGGACCCACCCTCGCCACTGCCACTGTTTGCCATTTATGGCACTGGCTCCCTACCACCACCACCACCAGTCACCTCCCTCTGTAGGCGACAGGCGTGGCATGTGATCACTTGGCTAGCTGGGCCTCCCTCTGTGGGACGATCCTGGTGCGATGGCGAGGCCTCCCGACCAATTACATGGCACCCGCCTTGGCTGACTTGGCGTCAGTTTGTGTCATAGTGTGGTCATCTGGACGGTCATTCTCCTGTTCGGTTGTTCAGTCGATTTGTATATTATGCTTTTATTATTATAGACTACTCCACCAACATAATGGCATTAAAGATAATCTGACCCTTATTAAAGGCTCAGGAAACCTGTTTGCTCCTTTTTAGTGGCAGCCATGTGATGGCTCTGCCTTTTAGGTTTTGAACTCTTGGTGTAATACGTGGTGGAATAAGTTAGAGATCAGCTTATTTTAGGTGGAACTCTTGGTGTAATACGTGGTGGAATAAGTTAGAGATCAGCTTATTTTAATACTCTAACAGCTCTCATAGTAGAAAAAGGTACATTACAAAGATATATAGCATTGTTGGCTCCACTTAATAAATCACAAAATGAATTTGCTTCAATCATAAAATGAGCTTGCATCATCTAATTATTTAAAGAATTTTGTTTAAAATTTTCTATTCAATTTCCAACTTTTTAAATCTCAAACAGTGCTCTCTCTCGCTCTCTCTCGCTCTCTCTCGCTCTCTCTCTCTCTCTCTCTCTCTTTTAAATATATTTTTATTGATTTTAGAGAGGAAGGGAGAGGGAAAGAGAGATAGAAACATCGATGATGAGAGAGAATTGTTGATCGGTTGCCTCCTGCATGTCCTCACTGGGGATCAAGCCCAAAACCCGGACATGCATCTGGGGATTGAACCATGACCTCTAGAGTCATAGGTTGATGCTCAATCACTGAGTCACACCAGCCAGGCTCAAATAGTTCTCTTAAAAATGATGGGAATTTCTTGCATTTTTAATGTTTGTACCAAGTATGTTCAAAATCCAGTCAAATTCTTCATTTTGGGATGATTTTAAACATGTCAGAGAGTCTTGTTTCTGTGTTTAAGTGTGAATATGGGAACTATATGCAGGCTGTACACTTGAATTAACATTGACAACAGTGGAAATGTATTTAAGTACCTCCTTCAAAAATCCCATCTCCATACCAGAAAGAATAGTTAATTGTTTTTTTGGTCATTGTTACAATGTTACCTATACCATCACAATTTAAAATGCTTTGGCCCTAGCTGGTTTGCTCAGTGAATGGAGCATCAGCCTGCAGACTGAAGGGTCCCAGGTTCAATTCCAGTCAAGGGCACATGCCTGGGTTGTGGGCTCAATCCCCAGTACGAGGCCTGCAGGAGGCAGCTGATCAATGATTCTCTTTCATCATTGATGTTTCTATCTCTCTGTCCCTCTCTAAAATCAATAAAAATATATTTGAAAAATAAAAATAAGTGAAAGGTGGAAGGCTATGGAAACAGCAAAGCTGGGCCTCAGGGAGGACAGGATGACCCGTTGGTATTACTCTGTAGTGTATTTGCTGTTCTCTGCAGACGTACCGCGAGCCTGTGTCTGACTACCAGGTCCTGCGGGAGAAGGCCGCATCCCAAAGACGTGACGTGGAGCGGGCGCTCACCCGCTTCATGGCCAAGACGGGCGAGACCCAGAGTCTGTTCAAAGACGACGTCAGCACGTTTCCACGTAAGAGCTAGCCCTCTGCGGACCCTGTCTCGTCATCTGAGAAAATAGCACCTTCCCTGACTGTCAGCATGGTAGGAAGAAGCAAACAAGCTTTGTCCTTGTCTTGGGTACCTCTCATGCTTCAGATCTAGGGCCTCCGTTGGGATTGGCTGCTTGAGATACATTGAGTTTAGGTTACCTCAGGAGTAACTGAGCCCCGGGCCTCAGAGACCTCATGCTGCACAAGTGGCAGCCCTGATTGCCGAAGGGACGGTGGCAGTCACAGAACACCTGCCGGGCTTTGCGCTTCACCGTGTTCTCACACAGGCACCGTCTCATTTAATTTCCCACCTCAGCACTACCGTTTCGCCGTGTGACCAAGCCGCTCCACCTCCATAGGCCTCAGGTGCTCCAAGGGTGAACGAGGGTGACCATTCATTCAGCAAGTGCTCGCCGTGTGCCTGGCCCTGCAGTCATAGCAGCTAAGTTATCAGGTGCCAGGTGAGGTGCCAGGCATTTCCCCTGATCAGCAGTCGCCAACCTTTCAGATCTCTCGGACCACCAGTGGTCTCCTAACCACTGGTTGGCCACCGCTGCCATTAAATCCTCTCAGGAGCCGGGACCGGTTTGGCTCAATGGACTGAAGGGCCCCGGGTTCGATTCCGGTCAAGGGCATGTACCTTTGTTGTGGGCATACCCCCAGTAGGGGGTGTGCAAGAGGCAGCTGATCGATGACTCTCTCTCATTGATGTTTCAAACTCTCTATCTCTCTCCCTTCCACTCTGTACAAAAATCAATAAAATATATTTAAAATAAATAAATCCTCTCAGGAGCCCACGAGGTAGGAGCTGTTATTCCCACCATTACAGGAAGCCCAGGCTTATAAAGAGGAGAAAGGAAGTAACTTGCCTAACGTCACATAGCTAGTCACTTTCAAGCTAGTCACCTGATAATCATATTCTACCAGACACAGAGACCTTCTATTGTTTATTTATCTCGTCAGCAATTTCTTCTCATCCTCAGTGCTGTTTGGAAGTGCCAGAAGTGCCCTCTAGCTCAGTCCATGCAGGGAGCTCTCAAATCCACATTTGAACTTGACTCCTTCAGACTGATGGGCTCAAAATCTCTGCTCTAGAAACGAGGCTTAGAGGAGTTACCAGATGTCAGACCACGAAGCTGATGCTTCACTAGGATGCAGCCCCTGTCTGATTTTAGTCCTCCAGCACTTGGGAAAAGTGGGCTCTGAAGTTACACTGCTCAAGTTCAGATCCCACCCTGTCACTTAACCTCTCAGCGTCTTGGGTTCCTTCTCTGTAAGACGGGGTTGGCGATAGTACTAAGCCATTACAGTGGATTAAGAAAATCCATGTGAAGCCTGTAGGACATGGTGAGTGCTTAGAGTGTGACAGCCATTACTGTCCTTGGGTGCTGCTCGCTGTGAGGCCCTGAGCCAGCTGCAAGGACACCATGACTGGAGCTCTGCTCTCTTCCCATCCCACAGTGATTGCTGCCAGACCTTTCACCATCCCCTACCTGACAGCTCTTCTTCCATCTGAACTGGAGATGCAGCAAATGGAAGAGACGGATTCCTCGGAGCAGGATGAGCAGACAGACACAGAGAATCTCCCTCTTCATATCAGCACGGTGGGTCCTGCCTTCTGTCTGCTTCAGGGTAGCCTCCCAAACTAGCCCACACTGCCCGCAGCCTGTCACGCTGAGACCTGGACATGACCGACCCAGGTCTCTGCCTTCATGTTAGGGATTTGCAAGATGGGCTCATGACGATCCGAGTGTGATGGGATCTCTAGCTTGAGAGGCAAGTCCTGTCTGGGGCTTCATTTATTCATTATTCATTCATTCATTCATTCATTCATTCAGTAAATATTGAATGAGTGCCTGCCAGAGCCAGGCACAGCTCCAGGTGCTGGGGAATTAGTAGGAGACAAAACCGACAAAATGTCCTACCCTCATGGAGCTAAGGTATAAAGAAATAAATGAAGAGGTGGGAAGTAGCTATGGGCACAGGGGAATGTGGTTTTAGGATGTCTTAGAAGGTGGTATGTGAGGAAAGACCTGAAGGGAACAAAGCTTACACATCTGGGAGTAGAGTGCTCCTCACAGGGCAACAGCAGGCGCAAAGGCCCTGAGGTGGGAGCTGTTGTGTTGAAGAACAGACGGCCATCAGGGTGGCCAGAGTGGCACGAACAGGGAGGAGAGCAGGAAGGGATGTGGAGAGAGAGCATATGGGGTGGGGTGCCTGGCCCAGGACAGCTCCGGCCCCCATTGCCCCTCCCTGCTGTTCTGGCTGTACAGCCACATGCTGTCCTGTAAAAAGTAAGTGAGAAGACTTTGAGAGAAGGATTCTAGCAACAAAGTTCTATGCGGTGACTGGACGATAAAAGCACATCGTTACGTAGTTGATTCAAGTGCTACCGGGGATGGGGAGGGAAGGTCGAGGGCGAAGGGTGGAGGCTTCAGGTTCAGAGTGCTCAGAGTAGACATCCCTGAGAACTGACATTTGAGCAGAGACTTGGAGGAGGCGAGGGAGGGAGGGAGCCAGGGCTGTCTGTGGAAGAATGTTCTGGAAGGGAGCAGCCTGTGCAGAAGCCCGGAGGAGCAGCACGAGGTGAGTGAGGGTGTGGCTGAGGAAGGAGAGAGGGAGAGACACACCAGGACCTTGTAAGCAGCTTTAAGACTGGGTTCCAACCGCGTGAAATGGGAGTGGTGGGAGGCAGGGGAGGGACGGGTCTGAGTTACCTTTTTCCGGGATCGCTGACTGCAGTGAGGAGAAGGGACTGTAGCCAGGACCGGCAGAGCGTGGGCTGTGGAGGGAGATCAGTTAGGAAGCGTTTGAGAGAGGAGTCTAGGCCAGAGCCAGTGGTGGGTCCTCACAGGACGGTCACAGAGAGCTGTTTACGCCCAGGGGAAGGTCCGGGGCTCAGTGTTAGGCACACGAAGTTGGAGGTGCCTACCTCATACCCCAGTGGAGATGTTGAGTGGCCGTGGCCGTGTGAACCTGGGGATCGGCAGGCAGGTGTGGGCAGGGCACTGAAGCTGGGCTGGGGGCAGTCCCCAGGGTGGGCTCGGTAGCACGCAATGAACTCCAGGCTCCAGGCACTCTTAAAAGACCCTTCTGCTCCCAGTTTTTACAAAATCTTGGTTGGATTGCTACTTTACTCTTTTACCTGCTCCTGTCCCTGCCCACCTCAAGGCTGCCTGTCCCCGAGGGAGGTGAGGGAGTGGCATTGCCAGGAGCTCTGCTTGGGAGAAGAGAGGCCGTGTCCGTGGCTGGGACCACATCCTGGCCTGTGAGACAGTGAGCCGGCGGAGGCAGCCTCAGTGCCTCCAGCAGGTCAAGGCTGGCTTTTCGGCACCCTTGTCACCTCCATCCTTATTTCAGGAAACACGTAAGGCACAGCTGAAGTGAACTTCCAGTAACTCTTAAGCTGAGGTGTTGACCATGGAGAAATGATAAGAGGTGGGAAGGGGGTGGTTGCTAAATTAAGCCGTGAAGAACTTTGGAAAGCTTAGGAGCCAAACGTCCCAGGCGGTCTGGCGGTGGTCAGACCTGTGTCTGGCGTAAGCGAGGCTGATCTTGGGCTCTCGCTTTCAGAAGAGCCTCCGGAAGCTCCACTGTGGCTCTAAGTCACCTCACAGTCCCGCCAGCTCAGGTGTTGGAGAGGAAAGCGCAGGGTTCCTGCGTGGCAACACACAGGGCCTCTGGGAGGACACAGTAGATGGACTGTGTGAGCATGTGCAGCGGAACCCAGAAGCAACCCATCTCTTCTGGTTCATGGAGCTGACTGTTGCCTGCCTGCTGGGCCAGCGGTCTCTGCGGGAGAGCCTGCCCTTCATTTCGTGGTTCATTTCGCGTCCTCTGCTCTGGTTGAGGTCAGAGCCTCCACAGAACAGGAATCTCAGTGACAGAACCTTGGCCTGTCACCAGGGGGCGCAGTCCCATCAACACCTCTGGTCACTCAGCCTCTTAGGAATGAATCTCTAGGTCAAGTTCTTCCTGTGATTTTGTCCTCCTTCCTCTGCAGGGCTCATTTTACAGAACTTAGAAGAGAGTATAAATAAGGAAAGGAGAATCAATCACCCATATTCTCAGAACCAGTTTTTTAAATTTCAACATACTACTTTTTTTTCTGTTTACACATGATTGTGATTTAAAAAAATTTTTATTTGGGGTCATATTGAATATATATATAAATTTATGAACTTTTCAGCAAAATCACTGTCTTCAAAAACCAAACCTGAAAGGCCTGACCCCCAGGGGAGGTATGGCAGATGGGGGTATGGATGGTGTTCCTGCCTTGGTGCCAGACGCTCCGCTTTGCCTTGGTGGGAACCCTCGAGGCTCTGCCGTAATGTGATCACTGGTACTGTGTTGCAAGTACCAGATAATTTGAGAATTTTGGGGGCAGAGGGCGTCTCTGATGCTTTACATCAGCTTTGGCTCAGGAGAGGCCTCTGCATATGATTGTTCTCACCTCGTCTCAGTCCTGCAAAGGGTGGAAACTTGCTTCCCTTTTTCTTCATCTCCCCACAAGTGGGGCTTCCTTCTTGAGCATCTGCATTTTAGCCCCAGACCCCCTGCCCCTCCCAGATCGCTATTCTTTCTAACTCGTGCCCTGTCTTGTCAGGAGCTCAGGGCTTTGTGTCCTGTGCTCCACTGTGGGAGCTGTTGGGCCCACCTTCCTCTGAATGCCAGTGTGGCCTGGGCCTCCTTCCATCCCTTGGAGAGAAGCGGTCCCTGAGCTTCCAACCTCCCCCGGAAGGGGGCGCTGCGATCTCTTTCCTTACGCCGCTGGTGTTTTGCTTTATTTTGGCTTTTGCTCAAAGGATGACTCTGGAGCCGAGAAGGAGAACACCTCTGTCCTGCAGCAGAACAACTCCTTGTCCGGGAGCCGGAGCGGGGAGGAGACCCTCATCGATAACCCCTACCTGCGCCCCGTGAAGAAGCCCAAGATCCGCAGGAAGAAGTGAGTTGGGAGCTGGGTGCAGAGAGGCCCTCTGGCCAACCGAGGTCTCCTCTGCTCTGGGGCAGAAAAGAGGCCACCGGTGGGTCTGCACCACCAGTGGGTCTGCACGTTGGGGTAAGCTACTCGAGTGAGAGGAAGTATCATCCCTTTTCTTCTCCTTCCTCGTCTGCCACATGTACCTCTTGTTGCATGGAGGTTGGGCTTCCTGCAGCCCGGGACTGACCCGCACAGCCCTGGAGCTGTTGCCTCCTAGAAGGAGAGCAGGTGGGGCCCCCACCAGGCAGGCTCCATGGATTCCTCTTCTTTCTAGGTCCCTCTCGTGAGCGGAGAAGGAAGCCTGCCTTGTACAGAGATGTGGACACCACGCTCCTGGGGAGTGAAAGCCACTCGAGGGAAGCAGAAAGAGTGGCCTCCCGAGCTCCAGCCGAAGCTGCTGGGAGTGACTGGGCATGCTTTTAATAGCAGATTCTGTGTTAATATTTCCCCTTTTCACTGGATGTTTGGGTTGAGGAAGATATGACGTGGTGATAATAACGAGGCTTTCTTAATTAACCAGGCTGGACTGGGGCATAGGAGCAGCTGGTGACGTCATTCATTATCACTGGACCTCATTCATTATCACAGGACCTCATTCATTATCACAGGACCTCATTCCTTTGAACTGAGAGACCAGGGAAGGCCGCAGAAAGAAGGGGCTGTGCCTTCTCTGCTTACTCCAGAAGGACTGTTCGCCTAGTTTCTGTTTCAGGCTATCCCAGTCCCTTTTATTGACTCACAGACAATGTGTAGCACCAGTTTATCACTTGCTTTGCCTTGGTGGGAACCCTCCAATGAGGTGGGAACCGCATTCTTATTTCTCTTCTCACCTGGGCGCCGAGTGCCCTGCTGAGATGACCGAAGGTGACTTTGCTTTGCCTTCCCACATGGCACTCCTTGACCTGGGCCGGCAGGAGTCAGGAGGGGTGAGCAGGTATGTCACGTGGAGGAGGGTGGTGCATCACAGCACACCAGCTCTCATCGCATTTGGTGAACTCTTCCTCCAAGGCAGTGCTCTCTCGGGGGGATTGGTGTTTATGGTCCCTCTGTGGAATGTGTGCTTTGGGACCACTGAGTCCTGCCCCGTCCAGGAAAAGAGCTTTCTCTGATAAGAGCCTCTGCAGGATATATTCTGCTGTGACTTGCTGGAGGAATCCGACCTTAAAGAGCAGGAAAGGGATTGGGGAAGAATGGGGGAGATCTTGAGGGCTGGATGGCCTGTTTGCTGAGAGCTGGGAGCCCGGGGCGTCTGCTGGAAGCCGGCACAGAAGGACGCCATGCGTGGAAGCCAGTGGGCCAGGCCACGGAGTTCTTCCAGAAGATCTGAATCTTCAACCACTTTGCATCCTGGGGAGAGATTTCATCCTGCCTGAACCTACAGATCAAAACACAAGTGTTTAAGGAAGATGCTGGACAAGCTGATACCCTTTGGCTGGTCTCTGAAAGAAGAGATTTGAAAACCCAAGTCTAAGGAAGAAAAATGCAGTGAGCCTGGAAGTTTACACAGTAGCAATGAGGAGTCCTTGGAATTGTATTGAATTTTTCTTATATTTGGCTTCCACAGTCCTCTCTCTCTCTCTCTCTCTCTCTCTCTCTCTCTCTCTCTCTCTTCTTTTTTTTAATTATTTTTTTATTAAAAAATTTTTTTAGTTCATTTTCTTTATTTAGAGGAAGGAAGAGATAGCTATCGAAACATTGATGAGAGACATTAATTGGCTGCCTCCTGTATGCCCCCTACTGGGGAACTGAGCCTGCAACCCAAGCATGTACCCTGACCTGGAATCGAACCAGTGACCTCTTGGTGCATGGGTCAACTCTCAACCAACTGAGCCACACTGGGCAGGCCCACGGTCATCTCTTAACTTTCCATGAATCCAATTCAAAAACTTGGTGATTTGACAGCAGGCTCCACTCCCTTCCGGCCTCACCGTTCTCTAGGGCTCCCTGTCCCATCCCCCAGAGGGAGAGAGCTGCTTGTGAGTAACTGAAGGGGGATCCCAGTGAGAAGTGGACTCCAGCTCTGGGCCAAATAAGAGTTTTTCAGGTTTGTGGTAAACTGAAGCTCTGCCAGTGAAAGCAGTTTGTGATCTGGCTGTTGGCGATTCTTGGCCTGTTGATTTTGACTCAAGTTCTGAGTGTGCATTGTGGCTGAGGCAGGAGGAACCTCCCAGCTTGCTGTCTTCACAGCTCTTGGGAGCAGTCATCCCAGTCAGTATTCGTGCAGTTCCTCTCGTTACCATCCAAAACTAGCGCCAAAGGGAGAAGGCCGGATTTGGAAAGGAGTCGCCATTTCTGCTGTGGGGCTGTCAGAGGCTGTGATTCTGTTCTGGATGAGACACTGGGAGATGGCTGGACAAACTGAGACACTGTGTGTGCATATTCTCGATGTATACTTATAAACTTCTATTTTTCATAATTTGGGGGGAATTCTTGGAGGGAATCAGTAGTAGACACACCCAGATGAAGAGTATAATTTGTGAGGTCTTAATAAAAGGTCATGAGGAAACCTTCATAATGAAACAATTTTATAATCTTTGAACTTCATTTGTATTCAAAAGTCACAGCACTGAGTAAGGCTGTAAACAGATAGGTGAGGCTCAGCCCTTCTGTTGACTAGGTACCGCTGGGAACTGTCTAAAACTTTATTTTGGAAAATTTCAAACCCAAAATTAGAGAGGAAAGTTTATATATTTTCTCTGTTTAATTCTTCATTCAGCTTTAACACCATTTTTTTCTATTCGGTTTTATCTATTTCTCCCACTTTTTTTCTGCTTAGAGTATTTTTAAAAACTCATCCAAGACCTATATCATTTAAAGTGTAAATATGTCCATATGCATCTCTGATAGGCTTTTTTAAATATTTGAAATAATTATAAGAGTCACAGGATGCTGGGGGGGAAATTTTCAGGGAGGTCATATGCACCCTTCACCCAATTCCCCCAGCAGTAGAATCTTATATAAATGCAATATCAAAACCAGGAAATCGACATTGGTACAACCCACAGAGTTTATTCAAATTTTACCATTTCCTCCCTGTGTGTGGTTCTATGCAGTTTGTCGTGTAGATTCAGGCATCCACCCCCACAGTGAAGGTACACATGTCCATCACCACAAAGCTTCCTCAGGCTCTCTCTTTAGAGTCACATCCATCTCCTTCCCCGCCCTAATGCCTGGCAAACCACTGCTCTGTTCTCCACCTCTATAATTTTATTTTCTAAATGTTATATAAATGGAATAAAGTTTATAATCTTTTGAGGTTGGCTTTTTTGTTTTTTATTTATTTTTATTAATTTAGGGAAGGAAGGAGAGAAGGAGAAACATCAATGATGAGAGAATCACTGACCGTCTGCCTCCTACATGCAGCCCCCACTGGGGCTCAGATATGTGCCCTCATCGGGAATTGATCTGTGACCTCCTGGTTCATAGGCTGATGCTCAGCCACAGAGCCATGCCTGCCCTGGCGAGGTTGGCTTTTCTCACTCCACCGGCGTGGGAGCCTTCCAGGTTGCTGTGTATGTCAGTAGCTCCTTTTCATTGCTGAGTAGTATTCCATGGTATGGATGTCCCACGATCCGTTTAACTTGTCACACATGGAGTCATCTGGGTTGTTACAGTTTCGAGCTACTATGAATAAAGTGGCTATGAACATTTGTGTCCAGGCTTTGTGTGAACATAAGTTTTCATTTCTCTGAGATAAATGCCCAAGAGTGCAGTTACTGGAGCCTATGGTAACTGCATGTTTAATTTATTTTTTTTTTAAATAAATCGTTATTGTTCAGATTATTACAGTTGTTCCCTCTTTTTCCCCCCCATAGCTCCCCTCCACCTAGTTCCCACCCCACCCCATACCCTTACCCCCCGCCCCAACTGTCCTCATCCATAGGTGTATGATTTTTGTCCAGTCTCTTTCCGCACCTTCCACACCCCTTTCCCCCTAAGGATTGTCAGTCCACTCCCTTACTATGCCCCTGATTCTATTATATTCACCAGTTTATTCTGTTCATCAGTTTTTTTATTCACTTGATTTTTAGATTCATTTGATAGATAAGTATTTGTTGTTCTGTAATTTTTACCTTTACCTTTTTCTTTTTCCTCTTCTTAAAGAATACCTTTCAGCATTTCATATAATACTGGTTTGGCAGTGATGAACTCCTTTAGCTTTTTTTAATCTGTGAAGCTCTTTATCTGACCTTCAATTCTGAATGATAGCTTTGCTGGGTAGAGTAATCTTGGTTGTAGGTTCTTGCTAATCATCACTTTGAATATTTCTCGCTACTCCCATCTGGCCTGCATAGTTTCTGTTGAGGCAATCGTATGGGTGCTCCCTTGTAGGTAACTGTTTTTCTCTTGTTGCTTTTAATATTTTCTCTTTGTCTTTTGCTCTTGGCATATTAAATATGATGTGCCTTGGTGTGATCCTCTTTGGATTCCTTTTGTTTGAGATTCTCTGCACTCCCTGGGCTTGTAAGTCATGATTTCTTCAAATACATTTTCAATGTCTTGCTCTCTCTCTTCCTCTCGCATCCCCATAATTCATATGTTGGTATGCTTGAAGTTGTCCCAGAGGCTCCTTATACTATCTTCATATTTTTGGATTCTTTTTTCTTTTCCAGTTGGGTATTTTTTGCATCTTTGTATTTCAAATCTTTGACTTTATTCTTGGGATCCTCTAGTCTGCCGTTGGATTTCTGTATATTATTCTTTATTTCAGTCAGTGTATGCTTAATTTCTGATTCGTCCTTTTTCATATCCTCAAGAGTCTCAGTAAATTTATCAGCAGTTTCTAGAAACTTCTTGAAAAACCTTATAAATGTGGTTTTGAACTCTATATCCTCAATTTCTTTAATTTGTGACCTGTTTCTTTGTCTCCGCACCTTGGCTGCTTTCTTGTGTTGATAGAGTCTTTTTATGTGCTAAGTGTCCTATAGGGCCCAGTGGCTCAGCCTCCCCAGTTACCCGAGATGGACACTTGGTTCACCCCTTTGTGGGCTGTGTGCACAGTCTTATTGTAGTTAAGCCTTGATGTTGGTATCACTGGGATGAATTGACCTCCAGGCCATTTGGCTGGGTGGATCAGCTGTATCTGTGATGGGAGAACTGTGCTGGAGTCACCCTATGAGGCAAGACTTGCTTCAGTGGGGCATTGGTGCTTACTGAATCAGCCCCCTGAGTGTGCATAGAGTGAGGATCTTGTCAAGGGGAAAGCCAGTGCTCTCTCTCACCGTGGGACCTGAGTTGTTCTCAGTTGGGCTGGAACAACTTTTGATCTGATCTGAGGCATTTCTACTGGATTAAGTGGTGGGTTCCTATACGAGTTAGGCTGTTCTGACAAAAAGACCTCAAAATATAGTGACTTAAGACAGAAACGTATGCTTTCTATGGAAGTCTGAGCAGGGGGTCCAGGCTGACTTAGTGGCCTGATGGTGGCCTCTGCCTCTGCTTCCTCCAACACCTTGGTAATGTTTATGTCCATCTTCTGGGTCCACATCCCGACGGGCAAGAGGGAGAGGGAGGTGTACACAGAGGAGACCTGAAGACCCCATGGCCCCACCAGGCTGCAAGGCAAGGAAATGCGGGATTTACGGCGGTTCTGTATCCAGGTAAAAACTGAGAGCCTTGTCACCACGGAAACAAAGAAAGAATGGATTTGGAGGACAACTGGCAATCCTTGTCACAATTAAGGATTAGGACATCTGCCCACCCAGGAATGCCAGGGGGGCCAGGAGCAAACCCTTCTCTAACACGGAACCCAGCTAAGTTGGCTCCCCGAGGGCCCAGACGCCCGGCACTCAGCGCGCCTCGAGGATGGGGCCTCTGGAGTCCAACCGACGCTAGCCGCTGGCCTGGGCTGATGGCTGCCGCCGCCTCCTATGAAGTTGTTCCTTGGGCTTCCTTGGCATTGCCCTCCTTTCTTCGTTATTCTGCCTCTTGGCCTCCCTTTTCTTTGCTGGCTTGTCTTCCCCAGTCTGCCCAGCTGTGTTTGGTCTCAACATCCTCTGCTATCCAAGGCGATGGCTCCTCGGCTCCTCCACTTTCAGCTGTTCTCCTCCCCCCCCCCCCCCCCACTCCCCCCGGGAGTCCTCAGTATCCATCTGTCTGTCACTTGCTGTCCCCTGAGCCAGCTGGTTATATTGTCAGTGCAACATGGTCAGAGTGGATTTGATTTCATGCTTCCCCCAAACCACTTCCGCTCCCAGCTTCCCCACGGCAGCTGGAAGCTGGAAACAGGCCAGTTGCAGTGGCCCTGGGTACTGCTCTTGGAGGCTTCATTCCTCATCTGCACCACGTTCTGCCACCTCTCCCTGCTGGTCTGATGCTGCGGCCTGTGTCCCCCGCCAGGCCCAGGCTGCCCGCCGGCTTTGTCATCTCCCTTTCTGCAGTTATACCTATTGCTCTTCGTTCCAAGTCCAAACCGCCCAACCTGGCTTTCGAGATCCTCTGCCAATTCATTGTTTCTTCTGGATAGCTCACGTTTCTTTCATTTGTTCAACAAACACGGATCTAGTGCCTCCTGTGCATGCCAGGTGCTGCGCTAGGCGCTAAGGATACCACAGAGAACTAGTCGGGACATGGGGGCTCATTCCAGTGGGAAGACGTACAAAGGAAACGAACCCAGAGCCTCTCAGACGGCAGAGAAGTGCTAAGGAGAGAGATGGGCCTTTTGCCTTGAGGGATGCTCTCATCACTGCTGCACCTGTGCCTTCCTCTGTGCCTTTCCCCTAAACGTGGCCTCCTCCCAGCCTCCATGTCCTTCTCAGATTACAGCGATCCTTCCCTTCCTCATTCATGCATTCAGCAAACATGCACTGAGCTGCTTTGTGCAGGTGCTGAGCCAGATGTTGTAATAAAGTCACCAACTTCTCTGACTTTATGGTCCATTGGGGAGACAGTTTCAAATAACAGATCTGTGATGGCAGCTGCTGCGTTGGGGTCCTGAAAGAAAATGGAGCAGTGAGGGGCGAGTGCCTGGAGAGAGGTGGAGAGGGGCCAGTCAGGAGCAGGGGCACATCGTGCAGAGCCTCCTGGGCCTGAGCAAGGCAACTGGGTGTTATTCAGAGTGAAGTAGGCAGCAGCCAAGTGGCAGGAGTTACTTAGCTTGCCAAAAGATCATTCTGGCCCTGGCCAGGTGGCTCTGTTGGAGTATCATTAGGTACAGCAAAAGGTTGTGGGTTTGATTCCCAGTCGGGCGAGTATGGGAAGCAACTGGCTGATGTTTCTCTCTCTTTAAAAATCAATAAAG